TTGGCTGGGACCTGTGTTCGCTTCAACCTGGTCCGTGGGTCGCGGAAAAAACATGAAGGGGGGGTTCAAATCGAACAAATACGGTACCCTCAACTAATCTTTTGAATTATACCTCTATAGTGAAGCCTCCATTTATAGTGGATATTTATAGTGTACCCACTATAGTACGGGATTAATCCACTATACATGGGTTTCCCATTGAAGCCTCCAATGGTGGATTTCCCCGTGCCAGATTTGATTGCCGGATGGATCCGGATGGTAATTATCAGGACAAGCCCTAAATCTTTAACATGGAGCCCGAACATGGCCCATGCCATATCCAACAGATCATCTTCCCATTTTTTTGGAGTTCCATGTGAAACTTATGGGGTCTATGCGACAGTGTATCAGCAACTGAATCTGATTGATGGTTTTAAATATGTGTATATGTCCATTTGGGTAAACATGAAGATAGTGACACCAATATCTTAATTGCTATTCACGAACCGGACATGACCAACATTTATTTAGCTTGGCAAATCTTGGATCTTGACATATCTTGACCCTTTCCCGCCCAAAGATCTGCTATGATTTGGTCACAACTTGCGGGGTCCAGGGGCTTCAAAGATGGTGAAGCATTTTGTGGCAGGATGACAGAGGATGATGAACGCCGCCGGCGGATAGCAAAGGCATGGATGAAGGAATGATGGAACGATGAATGAAAACATCCACCATATGTAATATATATATATAATATTATTATATTATATTTGTATATATATATATGCATTATATTGCATTTTATATAAGCCTGTATATCAACCTCCGAACATCGGCTGGTTTGATATGTTCAAGATGACGATTTTTTTTCTGAAGGATCCAGACCACGTCCTCCCATAGCTATCCATATCGCAGCTATCATCAACTATACGTGCTATCAATATTTATTAAGAACAAGGTATTCAAGTAGTTTGGCATTCAATGGAGGTTTCGTGAAACTATGGTCTTCCCCCTAAAAGCAAGGTTTTCCTATTACAATTGGTGTTTTTTGCTATCAAACACCACCATTTTCCCAACGATTTCGGGCTTAAAACAGCACGTGCCAGGGATGCGGCAACTGAAGCGAACGTCCAAAGATGACGTGGCGCATTGGCGAAGTCAATGCATGAACTTAATGATATTGATATATATATATATATACAGGTAAAGATAGATATAGATAGATAGATTAGATTAGATTAGATTAGATTAAATTAGATTAAATTAGATTAGATAGATAGATAGATAGAGACTTCTATGTTGTCTAATACTGTCTATAATATAGTACAGATATATCATACATATATATATATATATATGAGCAGGGACCCCCACACCCCTCCCCCCCAGCCAGATGGTCCCCCCCCCTGTGGCAGGGGAGGGGGGTTTTCTCAGCAGCCAAGCCGATTGTTGCTGGAGGAATGGTTTCTTATATATAAACATATATATATAAACATATATATATATATATAAACATATATATATATAAACATATATATATATAGTGTATGTGTGGTATATATATATAAACATATTTATATAATATGTAAGATATAAATAGAATATATGCAATATATAATATATATATATATATAACATATATATATATATTGAACATATATATTGAACATATATATATATATATATCGTATATGTGGATTTTGATAGAATATAGATAGTATATGCCAAATGTACTGTATCCACAGTAGATGTAATATATACAATATAGGTAAATCTGTTCGTTGAATAATGTTTACATAGTATATGTGGTATATTGAATATCGACAGCAATGCACGCTGTATATCTAGAGTTTATGTATATATATATATATATATATATGTATATATATATATACATATATATATATATATATATGCATATATATATATATATACATGTATATATATATATAAGTACATATGTATATATATATGTACTTATATATATATATTTATTTATTTATACGTGTACAGTATGTACAATGTAAACGAAATATGTGATAGATAGAATGTGCATGCATATATATATATATTGTTTTTCTACTGTACATATGTCTAGGTTTGCATAGGTAAGCTTTGCGTAATCCATAGGTAGCAAATATGTTGTAAACCATGTGCGAGGCACGCTATAGGCGGTTCGAAAGAAAGGTTATGATAGAAATATACAGGTAGACAAGGTCCGTTGACGAGGTCGTGGCTCTCAAGTGCTGCAAAAAACGTAGAGATGCGAGGTTGGAGGGGTGGAAAGGGGAGTATATATGTGTATATGTGTATGTATATGTGCAAATAACATGCAAATACTAGGTTTTGGGGGGGTGGGGGGGGTTAGGAGTGGGGGGGGATACCATTGGGGGGGGAGGGGGGGGGGGTGTGGGTCCGGGGACCGGGCTCATATATATCATATATATATATATTAATACATAACATATATACATATACATAACATATATACATATACATAACATATATTATATAATATATAATTTTATTTTAGTGCTATAGATAATTAATGTGCTGGTTGGGTATGGTTCAAAATCTGGATGTGACAGATCTCTCAAATGCCAAGCATATGTTATTGAGATCGTGCGAAACAGCCAACCAGATGATCATCGCCATGACCACAAGCAACTCTAATCACAATCATAGCTCATACCATTGATTGTCAGAAGGACAATCAGTAGATTTAACATTCGCACCCAATCGGTGCGAGACGCCAACCCTCGAGAGGGGACTGTTGATGAACACGTGTCACCCCTGCAGTTCCCTGTTGGATTCTTGTAGTTGGTGTGATGCTTTGTTGGCGCAGGGACGCTGACTCGTCAGCTGAGAAGTGCTGTTTTTTAATATGCTAAAGAGATACCGCATTTGCAGTTGCTTCATGTTGCTACCAGTGATGAAGTATTTTTTGTAGGGTTTGCCACGGAAAATGAGGATGTCATGTACTCGTAGCCATCGGACAGACGTGCGATTTCATCCCCAGCAAAATACTGTCAGGCTTCACTACCGGGTAACAGGATTTTCACCCGTAGCCATATGCTCACTGCTACATCCAGATCTTCCATGATCTTCCCAACAAAGCATCAGCCGGAAAAATGTACCATGGGTCGCTTTCCCCGTTTCCCCGGGTCGCGATGGCCCTGATCTGAAGATGCCACCAGAAAACAACTTACTACCGGTTGGTGGTGACTGGAACATGACTGGATTATGACTTTCCATTCAGTTGGGAATGTCATAATCCCAACTGACTCAACTGACGAAGTCCATGATTTTTCAGAGGGGTAGGGAAAAACCACCAGTAATAAAGATGCCACCAGCATGACCATTTCAGCAGGATGGGATATGGCGCCAAATGGCTACAGAGAGAACAATGATGCTTTGTATCCACCGGAAAGCCAAGCTGGTAGGACTGGTAGGGAGAAAACAAGGGAGAATGTCATTCAGAATAGTCCATTTTTTTGGTTTGACTTGAGTGGAGGACCAGGGATTTTGATGGATTTTGCAGAAATGGAATCTGGACCATGCTGACATCCTGTTTTGGTCACTCAGCTCTCCTGGTCCAGTCACTTTAGGCGATGTCAGGAAAAGTCTAAATCTGTTATATACCCGCTTGAACACTAGAATCCTCAGACACAGGGTTGAATCGTTGACATATTTGTCCCTATTGCCAGAAGACATAGTGACATGGTGTTCTTGAATCTCCAACAAGCGTGTTGTGTTGAATCTGAGAATGGGTTGATAGAGGATGCAGATGTGGATTGAGCTAAGATATGAAAGGCCAATTCTGTTGACGGGATTCTTGGCACACCAATTGCTGACAGCTCCCATGAGTTTGTTTGCAGATGGGGTAATACTGGTGTCCGCAAATCGGTGAATCATCATTCTCCATGAAAGCGGCTATCATTTTCGCTGGTCAATCACTCATTTGCAGACCCAGATTCGCCCAGATTCAAAAACTGGTTGGTGGTTTGGAACATTTTTTTCATATCTTGGGAATGTCATAATCCCAACTGACGAACTCCATCATTTTTCAGAGGGGTAGGGAAAAACCACCAACCAGAATTCCACATATGATAAAAATTGGGGGTCATAAACCAGACTTTTCCGAATTTTTGGAGCTCCAGAAGGTCACCTCGCGCGGCCATTTTTTGGGCTCAGAAGATGGTACTTTCTCGGCGGCACGAGGCGAGTGTCGCTAGCGCCCATGCTTTGGCTCGAAGCTCAGTCGACGGTCATGGCCCAGTCATGGTGGGGTGACCATAGCCCAGTAGTTCATTCATGATCCATATGAAAAACCATATGAAACAAGACGTCATGATGTCAGTGCCATGGTCATTGATATGGAAAAAAAATGAATTAATATGGACTAAAATGGATTAAACCATATTGAACCATATTAACCATATTGATTCATATTCATATTGTTTTGATTTATGTTAATCCATGCATATTCATTTATATTGATCCACCTTCGTCCATATCAATCCATATTAATCCATATCAATGACCATGGCACTGACATCATGACGTCTTGTTTATCGTAGGACTTACAATACTTACACTCCGAGCGGCTCAGCTGTTGATTTTCCATGGGATTTCTGGTGCTGAGTTGAAGCTCCAACTTCGCTCTCCAGCTGCATGTGGAAAGGACGGCCTTCCGTTGGCGATTTGGGACAGTTGACTCGCTGCATGCTGAGTGCACCTAAAACATGATGCTGCTATTAATGTTGCCTTTCTTAGGGGATTCCAGTGAAAAAGATGTTATTTCAAAGTTATTTCTATTAGATCTAGTAGTTGTTCATGTCTTGCAAAAAAAAGTCTACCTAGACCGACCCTCGTAGCCAGAAAACGCATATATGGTGGTGAAAAACCCCATGAAACTTTAGTTCAACCATCATTTTACCATCATTTTACCACCATTTTCCCCATTTTCTGGGGCTATTTGGAGGCTCCAAATGCTGCCAGTCCCTCAGGATGCCTATGACATGGCTGCGGAGTTGCAGGACTGGAGCTGAGCGGCGTTTTTTTTTAATGTGGTCATGGACAAGCGGGATTTCTGGACGGCATTCATATAGGATATCATAGGATTTAATAGGATTTAATAGGATATATATATATAATTATATATATATCTGGTTGGTGGTTTCAAACATGACTGGATTATTTTCCATTTCATATATGGGATATCATAGGATATATGATAGGATTTAATAGGATATGTTGTTTCTCTATTTTCACAATGGGATAGAGATGGATATAGACATATATAGACTGAGATAGTACTGTAACCGGCAAAGAGATTCAACAATAATGAACACAAATTGAATTTACCTTTACTTTAGAGGGATGCTGATATTATTTTTTTGGAGGTGCTATTGAATGCGTGAAACAAGTATGGACATGGATAAAAATTGACCGTTGGTACCATGTGTTTGTTGTCACAATGTGAAGCTCACAATCCAGGTTGGATGATTTGGGATTGCAACATAAACATATACGTGTGGTAGTTTAAAGGACCAACATAAACATATATACCTGTGGTATATGTGGTAGTATGATGTTGGTGACCAACAAAAACTACTGTGGTAGTTGAGCCAACCTGGTGAGACTCCACTAACTCGATCGTACCACCGTGAAAATAGAAGTGTTTATTCCTGGTAGCCCAGCGAACCATTCCAGGATCCCACCATGATCCATGGCAGTTGGTGCTTTCAAACGTACGTCGGCTCAAGTGTCCAATCAATCCCATTCAGACGAGCCAAAAGTAAGTAAGCAAATAACTCACAACCATCTTGAAAAGATCGTGTATGGGATTGATTGATATTGTTTGTTCACAATTGAACATCAAAAAACCATTGCAGCCAGCACCTTCCAATCTTCCGGAGAATAAAACTGCTAAGTCAGAACCATGTTTTTTTTTTAATGCCAGTTGACCATGTTTGGACTTCGTTCGGAAGTGCAGTCCCACCATGTCCCGAACGGATCCAGGATGATTCTGGTTCACCACAGCGCAGTGCAAGCAGCGAAAAGGCGACCCGGCGGGTTCCTGTTAGAGCGAAGCAAGGCGGCTCAACAGGTTTCCAACACCCCAAGTGATCCCAAGAATGATCAACAATTTTTGGGGGGGCTCAAGAGCAAACACTTGGGTGTGACATGTTAGGATATTTTAGGTTGTGCGAACATTGCTGAAGTGCAGTTTGGTTACCTGTCACAAACAGGGACTTGGAGTGGTTGTGGAAAGTCAATGATACCTCGACCTCCAGTATAAAACGAAGACACAGGTTTGTCTGAAAATTAGGTCTGCACTGCTCCAACATATTTGGCTAACTTGCATTTTTCTTTGATCAACTCCTCAAAGTATGTTAATTTGCAACCCTACTTTGCATGACGGTCATTATTCATGACCATCCTCATCATCATAATCAAGAAAACATATCATATATTTGGGCGTCATATGTGGGATGATTATCCTTTGGTAATAGAACCTGGACCTGGCAATGGTAAATCAGCCATTTAGTTCGATGATCAATGATAATTATATATTCCATATGTCCCCAATGAAAACAAAACGTTGGATTGTCTAGCCAGCCATGTTAAACTTCAAGATGTCACAAAAATAAACATCACCATATCATCACCGTTGTTTATCCATATATTTGATGGTTCAAAACCAGCCATGGTTTTCAGCATGTTTGATGCTTCCATGTTTTCACCGGTCGATGGTCAGGGCTTAATGGTCGTGGATTTAGCATTAGAACTTCACCGACGGGCCAAGGTGGGGCTGCGGGACCCTTGGATCTGAGGCAACGGTAAAACCTAAAAAAAGATTGGACTAGCAATTGGACGATGATGATGAGAGAGCCATCTAAATGGTGATATATATATATATATGGATGGTATTATATGGTGATTTTCTTTGGAATGGTCTATGGTTTTTAGGTTTTAGGTCATAAAGAATCTGTTTAATCTGGGAACATTTATCCAATGACTCATGGAAATAGATGGGAATTATACGGGAATATTCTACTCTAATCTAATCTGTCATAAATGGGAATATATGGGAATATGTGTTTAGTCCCCTTATATAAGTATAGAACTAGACTTTGATATATCAAAATTTGTTTTGCAGGATATCTTAAACTGGCCATGTGATGGGAGATAGAAGTGACAGACTTTTGTGTATATAAACATCCCGACATGTAATCATCCTGGAGTAGATAGAACATTGGATTTTCAAAAAAGTATTCCCATTTTAGCATATTTTAGCCAGGATTCTATTTACTCCAGGATGACTATATATATATAAAAGTATTATTATATATATATGTATATATTGTGTGTGAATATGTATATTTTAAGAAAAACATGCATGTTTGTTTCTAGAGGGGGATTCCACAGGCCAAAAGCCGCTCCAAATGCTCGCAGGTCTTTGCTTTGGCAGGGGACACCTTGCGGGCCAAGCAGTTGGGGAGCCAAGTGGGTATACCGTTATAGCCCATTTGATTCCCACTTACAAATGGATACCGTTGTATCAAGTGGGGTTTAAAGCCCATGTGATGTCCCAGTCGAAACTGTGGTACACATGGTATAGTTCACTATATCCCACCTTTCGTGTTTTTGTTCACCTTTCCCGAAAACCACTTGGAAGTCGAATTCAGACCCTTCAATTTGAGGGATCCACTTGGCGCTGCCAAGCGGAGGTTAATTGAGAGCTGCATTGAACAGATGGGAAGCGTCAAGATCTCAGGACATCTGCAGCGGATGTCATGGATATCGAATTTTGGAAAGGAGCCTGCAGTTTTTTTTTGTGAAGAACGAGGATTTAGGAACTTAACATATGGGCCTGTGCAGCATTGATGGGGATCATGAAAATATTTGGATGTCTCCAGTTGGTGGCGGGATATAAGATGATATAAGATGTCCTTGCCATTCCACGTGGCATGATGAAGCCCCATGGACTGCGGGATACCATGGATTGAAACCACTCAATTTACACATTGATTTGGAATTCCCGCGGCTGGCCGTGGGGTACCTGAACTTCAAAATTGAGAATGCCAAAAAAACGCTTCACTCCACTAGACTCACTAGACTCACTAATGTGGGTACAACAATAATCAACCATCCCCTAAATCACCATAAATAGTTGCTAATTATAAACCATTCCCAAATGGGTGGTTTATGGCATTGTTTTACCCACATTCGACCTTTTATGGCAGAAGTCAAGAGCACCTCATAGCCCTGGTTTTCCCGGGACCACGGTCCAAGTCATTCAAGTCTAAGGCCACTGTGTCCTTTCCACATGGCTCTCGGATTCTACAACTCTGCGAGACCTTGTTGGAGGCGACGTCATGGCGACAGTCGCGGCTAACTAAGACGATAGGCCATCCGATTCTCTTGGAAAGATATGGGCTATGGTTTTTCACATTTGTAGTTTGCTAGTTTTTGCCATGGGATGCAGGTCGTGACTTCTACGATGCAGATTGTCTATGGAATTATCACCCGGAAAAGCTGCGTAGAATGCCAAGTTTGAAGGATGATCCAGTGCTTGGCTGGCAGGTCAAAATTGGGCGGCTAGTTTTTAATAGTTTTTAGACACGCCGGTAGATAGTCCATGTTATTTACACATGGTATTAAACAATATTAAACAGTACAGTATACCTTATTTATGATAATAGACAATTGTAATCACTCGCGTTGTAAACCCAGTTACGTGAACTTTGGGCCCATGGCAGTTTTCAGACAGCTGTCGGTGAGGCATGGAACACGGAGGGCGTGGTATTACAGGCCTGACTTGGTTGTGGGTCTGTAGCAACTCTCACCGAAGATCCCGGTTGAGTTGTTGGGTACAAAACTAATGATGGGTCTCTATCACCCAATCAGTGTCTCTTTTTCAAAATATCCAATCAATGTCTCTGTTTCAAAAATATCCCTGTTGATGTCGACATTTTTTGTTGAGATTCTGGGATATCTGTGAGAATCCACTGGAGACTGAAGGTGAAGTCTGGGGAAATTCTCTGAAGATGGCAACAGCCAGAAACCGGAAAGCCAAGAATAGTAGATCCCATAGGACCCCCATGAATGGTGAATGGACAGCCTGGTGATTCCGAGGAAGTTCCCCAAAATTCTGAGGCTTTTTCCCATTTCGTGGGTGAACATTTTCCCACACGCTGTCCATTGGTTTCCTGATAGCACCCACCAATCCAAAATGTGAGTTCCGAGGTTGGTGTCCTAACCCAACCACAAACTGCTGGGATGGTCCAAGTGACAGTTTCCTAAAATAGGGATACCCGTAAATCCCTTACCATCATCCATATTTTTATATAGATGGATTTTCCCAATTTTTCCCATGAAAATCATGAAATTTTCCCCATCCATAGGGCTACCCCCATGGCTATGGAAACCTCCCAGTACCGTAGGCCGAAGAGAACGACTTGGTGGCAGAGCTGGAGCGTAGCGTCACGGAGGCATTACGCCAGGCAGGGGGACGCCACAGTGGCGCCACGGCGGTCACCAAAAAGGGGGGGGGATTTTGTAACAACCGAAAAAGGCGGAAGTTCATCACTTTATATCAGTGATTGAGATGGATTATTATATATACATGTATCTATATATATACATATTATATATATACATACCTAGACCCACAGAAACCTTCTTTTTTTTGGGTTAAAAATAAAAAGACGTCGATTTCCAGAAATAGATGTCGTTTTTTATTTGGCCATAATCAGGTTTCAACATACACCAGCATAGCATGTGAACAATGCATTCTGAATCCATGCATGTCAACATAGATTGCAATAAATCAATAGGTTCAACAAACATCAAACCCTCAAGGGATCAAAGAGGTTCCAGCATTTGGCGCCACATAGTGCCTTTTTTGGCTAGACCAGCAGGCCCGCTTTTGCATGGGCAGCATATGCACTGACAAGGTAACGATCCAGCGTTCTCAAACTAACACGTCGTATGTTGACACGACGGCTGAGCCTGGAACTTCTTCCTACAGTATCTTCATCCATCTGGCATGCGAACATCATCGGACTGACTGCTGTTTTCACGGAATTGCCAAGAAACCTGATCTCCAGCATCTGATGGTGAAACATATGTAGCTTCGGATACAGGGGAAACATCCACTGTTTGCTGACCCCAAACATACGTCCAGCCAACATTGAGTAGGTCTTCAAAAATTGAAGCCCTTGTTCTGACACGAAGGAGCATTCTTGTTCAGATAGAAAAGCACCGGCACGGTACAAAAGACTAAACATTGTATTCATGCGATACGTAGCCGATCTGCACTGCACCAACAAGCCACCAGGTTCACCCCGCACGTCACCCAATAAGTCGATCAACCAATGCATGAAATTGCTTGTGAGTGCTCCTTTATGCCAATTTCCCATAGCTCCACTGGAATCACCATAAGACATGAGGTATCCAGTTATTTTTGCCACATGTGCTTGTCGTTTGTTTGCAGTACACCAACGCAAGTAGTGTGTTGTAAGGTAATCCCATTTTTCATCAAGGTTTGCACATGGCAAGTAGCTCAGCAAAAGTTGAATCACACTAGCCACCCAGCTGCGACCAAAACCAAGATGCACAACATGCCACAGGTCAGTCTTAAAGAAAGCTGCCGGATCCCCACGGTCATGAACAAGATTTTGGATGAGCGATGGACAACGCACCCATGGAAGCTTTACCCCAATCGTTCGTAACCAACGAGGTTCCAGTGTTGAAAGTTCTTCGGCTGGAAAACCATTTGTCCCTGCAAGGCAATAAGGGCAAATGCCCTTCGGGGGGCCACGCTCTTCTCCTCGCTTAGCTGTAGTGTTGTATGACCTGTAGAAGTGAGCTACCTTTGCAAGGTAAGGAGCATCCCCTTTGACACCCAAGACTGCCACCCTGAATGTTTCACCAGTTGCAACATCCACAAATCCCTCATGGAGGCACTTGCTGAGGGACTTGGCAACATGGTCAATGCTACTGTGGAAAACTTCCGGTGTAGACTCATAAACAGTCTTCGGAGTAGCACTGACAATGTATCTTGTTGTAAAAGAATGACCAGCAAAATTAACTCGCAATTTGCCTGGAGGACCAACCATGGCGCAGTTCTAGACAGGTCCACATTTGGCATGCTAAAAAGTTCAAAACCAGGGTTGACCTTCTTATATTCAGTCCAAAAATCAGACCAATTGCGACGGGCCCCATCATGATCAAAACGATCGCATCCAGCCATCACTGGCCAAAGCCCCTTCTTGATGACAAAACGTAGCCATGTCTGAGGGGCAATCCATGGAAGGTTCACACCATCGCAAGAAATTGATGTGATAGGTACATCTAGTTTTGTCCCTTGTTTTTTCATAGTTCGCTGGGCATCCCTTTCTGAATGTCGCAAGTTGCAGGATGCCCACTTGTCCACCCCACAGCTAGCCGATCGCCCCTCTCCCATATCAGCAGCCACAGCTTGCGCTGTGAGGATCTGGCTGACACAACTGGCCTCAGCAGCACACTGAATGAAATGAGTAAACTAAACCCCTTTGCCAGGTGATTGCAGGCATTGCACAACAAATGCACAAAACTTACTTGAGGACAACATAGCTTGAAAGCAGCCCACCACAAAACCAGCACTTTGCTAGCATTTTCCCCCCAGGCTTCCAGAAGACCAATTGAGGTCCAACAAGTTCGCAACCACTCCAAAGACTTGAAAACGTCTGGAACGGTAATCTAAACATTGCAAGCTCTTGGCATCAAAGGATACCTTTTAATTTCCTTTACACATCTTTTGGCATGCCATGGCTTTTTACCTGCATGCTTGGTCGTCTCCAAGACATATAGACAACATATGTAAAGTAGGGTCCAGAGTCAACATCTCTCAAAGAATCTCCACCCCGACGTTCATTTTTGCACCCCTGCAAGCCTTAGTTGAGGAAATGTATAGATCAGAATGGCAAATCAGCACTTTCAAAAAAACATCACATAGCCATGGGCCATGGAGGAAAACCAAGCATGCATGTCATAAGACTGTGCAAGCAGGAAACTTCCAAAGCGGTCTATAAGCGCCGCCTCCAAAAATGCTGGTCCATGAGGATTCGAAGCTGCATAAATGGCGATCAAATGCTGGAACCTCTCCCTTGATACCTTATATCCAAAGGTGGAATTGTGCCATCTGATGGCAGGATCATGTGTGATCCCAAACTTAAACGACATGGGTTTGTTTGCTTCCAACAGCTTCTCAAATAAATTGATACTGTGTTGCAACACCCCACCAGCTGTTGCTCGTGGCTTGGGAATATCCAAAGAGAGGCATGGGTCCTGTTCAATTTTCCGGAAGACGTCCTGGGACCGTGGTAATCCTGCCAAATCATCATGCTGGAGATAGATATCTTTCCACACCATAGATTGGGACAACACATGCCCCCTAACATCATCACCAACTCGCGCACTACCTTGAAGTGGCAGATTTTCTGGGTTTGGTCCACCTTTGGCCCGATGAATGCACCGGACATGTTTCTCCTGTTTGTATTGCCATGCATAAGGCCCCAAAGAAGCCTCAGTATAGATCCAATCTAAAGAAAATATCACGCAAACACACACATTATACACATGGTGACTTGAGTGAATAACTTTGACAAGTAGCTGGCCGGTGACAGCTCAGCAACTCAACCAACTCATCGTCCGAATCTTCCATGGCACGATGACACAGAGTTTTTGCAATATATTTTTGTGACTGAAAACTTGTAATGTGGTTTCACTGATAGATTTTCTATGTTGTTGTGGGATGTACAGTAAATAGTGACATTGAAACGGTAAATTAAAGTATCGATTTGTTGGCAGCCTACATCAGCAAATATAGATGTCCAGAGCCAACAGCTTCCACTTTTCAAGAGGTGGTTGGAGGATTGAAAGGTGAATTTACCAAGCAGGTTGCAACAACACTGGAAATTCCCACTCAGCTCATGGCGCCATCGCCAATGTTGGCAGCCAAGCGTTTGGCAGTTTGTCCAAGAGAACCTGGCAGCAGCTTTGATGCAATGAACCGGGATGGAAGTCTGATTTCATACATTGGATCTAGCTGTATGAAATCAGACCTCCAGGGCATGGTGTGGGTCAGTTGGGGGAAATTACAAATGAATCACAAAGGCTGTACAGATGTAAGAAAATAAACACCAGGCTCCCATCCCAGATCATTTTCCTCAGAGGGAACACCAAGCACTTCGCTAGGCCGCATGAATCTAAACTTTGTCCATCAGGCCATCCATGGTGCAAACCCCAAAGATACAGTTTTAAAGTTTCTAAGTTATCTGGGTTCTATGCTTTAGGTGGGTTTCCTAAAACAACCTCATGGAAAATAGATAAGTAAATCCAGGTTACTGGGATGTTGAATTGTGGGAGTAGTGCACCACAAGATCGGCCCATCACCCCATGAATTTGGATTGCATCAAAAAACACAATCCCTAAAGAATTTGTACGCCAATGGTTGCCAACATGTTTTGTGACATTGGCATCTGAAACAAATAGGCCCTCACGGATCAGTGGCCATCACTTTTCCTCCTTGACTTCCTCCATGTCCTTCTTCTTGAAGTGGCGCTTGGCAGACCTGGAAGAAAGCGGTTTTTGCTGAGAGAAAATCTTAGGTTCATACTACTCTAATGGGGCATCAGTGGGGCATGTATGGGCATGTTGATGCTTAAACGCTCTCAGGTATGGTATGAACAACTTTGTTGACCTGCCGAACCTTCAGACCTGCTGGAGTGACAGTGCGGGCTTTGAGATCCTGACCGAATCTTGGCCTCGTTTTGTGCAACTTTGGTGCACCTGGGGCAGTGGCACATGTGGCTTGTAGAGACCAAACCAGTTCTATGTGGCATTTCTGCATAACACAATGCTGTAGTGACTTGGGTTTTAATATGGTTTTTTAAACAAGACTGCTACCTGGGCACACAAAGGTCGAAGCTTTCATCATCTTTTCGGCCTTTTCAGTCCACCTGGGAGTTTTTCAGATCATGTTCATAAGAGAATGGGACCATTGAGGAGCTATTTCCCCATAAGTATCATCAATTTTTTTGTGTTATCACACTATGCCATTAAGACACGGCTTGTCAAAGCTATCCCGCTCTCCTTCGGCCATGTGGTTGGAAAGGGTGTTGTACTCACCGTCCAAGGTGTTGAGATCACCATTCAAGGTGGCCACGGCCCTGATAGAAAGGTGGGCTGTGGGTGAAGATTGGAATCTTGGGTTTTGATTTACAGTAATTAGCTGTTTTTTGACCACAAGGAAACTACACAATATCTCCTGAACATGTTTGAAGCTGAGAAACTTCCGGGCTGTGGGGTCTGTGGGATAATTGCGCTGCAAATCTCCCACAAGGGATCGAATCTTGGCACTCTTCGAAAGGACACTCTCCACGTGTTTGCAAAAGACATCTTTGGACCTGTTGGCCTGACACAAACATTCATAAATCAGAAGCTGAGATCAGCATATATAGAAAGAACAGGGGAATTGTTGGAATATTTGTTGGTAAAAAATACAGACATAGCTAGCCTCACTGGTTGCAGCAACTGCTGCACTCAGTGCAGCCTTTTCACGTACTTGATTGCCCTCAAGTCTGGCCAAGTCAACTTCGGGAAGGGATGGTGGTCCATTTTCCTGGCAGGTTCAGCTGGTGCCTGGCTGGTTCAAGTGGGAAACGTGGCAATGAATTAAGACATTACCAGTCCTGTGTGATTTCCTCCGTTTGGTCACTTCGGGTGTTCTCTTGCTGGTGGTTGCCGGTCTCACGCACATGGACATAGTATTCATCATCTCCACCATACCGGCAATGCCTATAGGGCATGTGAAAAAACATGCAAGAAGCTGCAACACATTAAGATGTACACAACATGCATCAACTACGTGGTTTGTTCTCATCACATGTTATTTTGTTCCATCAACTTGTCAATGTGTTATTGTGGCCTGACCAAGTTCTTCGGGTCAGCTTCACAGCACTTCTTAGCACCAGCAATTTTCTTCCTGAGGGAAATGAAAACAACATGGATGGTGTTTCCAAAAAAAATGGTGCATTTGGATGTTGATTTGTTTAATGATTTTTTATTCCAAGAATCTTGTTCCATTTCAACACTTTGATCATGTCTTCTTCCGTGTACCACCCCACGGACAAGTCCGAAAGCTGCTTGTCGGTCTTGGTGACTGTCCTCTTCTTGTATTTGATGAAGCGATCCTGCAAGGAGATGGGGCACTATGAGCAGTTCCCCAAGAACATGGGCATGATCTGGAGAGCTGGATTCAATGGCTACCTCTTCAAAGAAGCTACTTGGCAACAATCTATGTTGTTAGTTTCTGAATGGGCCTTGTCAAAGTTGCAAGACTGAAATTCCCTGGCCATGGCCAGATGGTCTCCATTTCGCCACTGATCATGCAACCACTGTGGCACATTGAGTCTACCATCTTTCTTGGCTTCGCACAGTCGGCGCAACTTCGCTTTGAGTGCGTTGTCTTCCTTATCAGTCATGGCCACAAGAACCAGAAGGGATTGATAGGGATAGGAAATGCCAACCCTCTGAAATAGTATGTCAATAGATCTTGACATGGATGTTCATAGCACCCAAAAAATGAAGCAGAGTTTCCATCTTGGCTCGCTTTGCTTGGTCCAACAGTTCGTCCAGGGATTCTTCATCCGGTTTGTCGGGTTCAACTTCAGAAGTATCCCCTTCATCACGAGACCTCTTCACCCCACCAGGCTTGTTGTCCCTCGTTTCTGGAAGCACTGCCCCAACCCCGCTTCCCAGGAGTTGCATGGCGACGGAAGCATCAAGTTCACCTCGCTGATACATGTCCACGATACGAAGGGTCACCTGGGCCAGTGGGGCGGATGGTAAATAAGGTTTCTAGGGGCATTATCTCTTGGACAAAGTGATGGCAATATATGATAAATGTATACACCAAGTAATAATGTAAACCACCTCAAATATTTGAATTTCACTGGAACATTGATAGTATTTAATTTGCATGGGATTCCCTGGGAACTGAAAAACACTGTTGTCTAATTCTCTGAAAGTCACCTCATCTGAGCCTTTGGAACTGGGTAGCGAAGATGCTGGGGAAACCGGGGCATGGCTTCCAACGTCACTACCAGTCCCCAAATTGCTAGGACCAGACTGGGGTGTTCCACGGACAGATGCATCTAACTGGGATTCCGTAGCTGGCAGTGTCTCCTCTGGAAGCTTATTCTGCGGAGAAGCCTTAGCGTCATTCCAGGCAATGGAGAAGTAGGAAGACAACAGTATCAGCCATGGATAAGGGTCTAGCATCAAACCAACTACATTGAACTTGAAATTACAACAGCAACCCCCATACTCTGAGGAAAAAAACAATGTAACATATGGGCCAGAAAACTGTTTGTGAGACTGATTGAGTCTAGGAGCCTGGGAACGTAGGCCCTGCAGCTCTGCCAAGGAATTCACCTCAGCCACACGAGATCAAATGCAGCAGGGTTTCTTGCACAAAAGGGCATGGGTGGAATTGGTTAGATTGGGATGCCTATATACATATATGGTTAAAATATATCCATCATGACATATAGCTCTAAATGCCAACTTTGTGATATATTGTGCAATCGTTGGGACAAGATTGCATTTGTTTCGAAAGTTTCCAATGGCCTGGAATGAATTTCATCACAGACCAAGGGTAATTGTCAAATTACTTAGGCACCCCCAGCAAGACCAGGTCACCCCCACAGAAGCTTCTTGAGCTTCCAAATCAGCAAGCTCCTTGTCCAAGTCCTGCAGGCTTGGGCAATATATACATTATAAGATCTATATATTAATTTGAATGGGAACCATATGCAAGACTTGGAATAACATGAATGTGTTTTGGGAGCATATGTTTTAGGTATATAGGCAACAGGCTCCTGTAACTCATCCAAAGAAGTAGGTAAATTGTTCGCCAAATCTTCAAGGATATGGGAAAGGCCACGGCCAAGTTCAAGGTTCGACCCAGCTTTCGAGAGCATAGTCTGCGATGTATCCCTTCTGCAAAAAGCCATCAACTACGTAGCCACTAGAAATCCTTTTTAGGATGGTGCCAACAGCCAAAATGTCTTCGCACTAGCATTTTAAAAATCATGTGATGTGCTGATCAACTTGAGGATACCAATGCATGTACAGCTTTGCTACCACACTAGGCATTGCCAATTCTGTTTTTTTTTCATCCCCTTGCAAACTTCATGGACCTAGATCCAACCCAGCGAAATACTGGCATAAGTCCTCCTCGAATTGCCATGAATTGGCACACGGCGCTACATATGAATTTTTATGTTGCGAAAAGCTCAGGCCAAAGGTTTGTCTCAGATCCATTTAAAGTTGTACCGAAACCATCTTAAATCAATGAAAAGTAAGCTATGATTGGATGAAAAAAAGCTGTCTATTTGGGAAATTTACCCATAATCAATTATGGGTAAATTATGGCAAATTATGGGTAAATTACGGGTCAATTACGCATAATCAAATTACGTTTGAAATAGACAGCTTTTTTGAACAATCGATTATGGGTAAATTACGTTCGATTATGAACCATTATGGTCGGAATTCAAAAAATAGATATCTTTTTCTTGGTATTACGCCAAAATAGATATATATTTTTCCGGGTTATTACGGTCAAATTACGGCGAAATACGGATGGTTACGCATTACGGCGAATTATGGGTAAAAAAATGATATTTTGGTTTTCGAATTGAATATTTCTGATCGAACAGGGAATCAATCCATTCGAATCAGATATATTTCTTTTATAGCTGGGAACCTGGGCCGAAGAGCAACATAACTAAGGTTCGAAGCCCCTGAAACTTGTTTAAAGTTTCTTAGGCAACAAGTTCCGAAAACTTGGGGGCACATTCAAGTCAGTACCTTTCCGAAGGTAATGACAAACTGAAACCATGGAAGCCTCACTCCACACATCGCTAAAGTCCATGCTGGCAAAGGTTTCCTCTGCTGTTGGTACTACTGCTGGTAGTTCAGGCATTCCATGCTTGTCTGCGACCAGGTCATGAAATAGAGATACCATTTCAAGTCCAAAACGTGGTGGATAGCACCTGGGAATAGAACAACCAATCCCCGAGAGAGTCAAGAGACAAATTCAAATTTTGGTTTCATACATTGTTTGCCGTTTCTTGTGTAAGCAACCCCTATGGATATACATTTAGAAGGTTGATTTTGGGTTCCCAAATATTGAATGGCCCTTTGGTATGCTTCATGGCATTCAACTGTAAACACAAAACAACATGTTTCTGAAACAAGTAAGACCCCAACTCGCTTGCTTTCATGTCATGACTTCCTTTCCAACGTTGCCGTCCTTTGGAATCTTGGTATTTGATCGCCAAGTCTTTTGACATCCCCTTGGTCTGAAGATCCTTTTTGGTCTTTGCCCAGCCCTTCAGCTTGCCTTTGTTCAAACCACCGACATGCCTCGAGTTTCCAATCACATACAACCTCTTAGGGGTTGCAGCGCCATAGTGGTGCATGTAGAACTCCACCCTGTGCACCTGTGCTGGCGGACATGCAGTGGCAATTAAGGTCCACCAAAAAGAATGGAAACCCATATCATATTTTGTTTATATTTGATGGGTTGCTAGACTATATACTGATTGACAATTGACATATAATGATTGTTTCCCCTGGTGTATCATCAATTCATCCCAAGGTGGTTTTCTCTGAAACTTTATACTTAAGTCGGCCCACATGAAAAAAACATTTCAGAGAAACATGTCCCTAATGAAAACTGGTGTAGCCCTTCAATCAGGAATATGAATATTTTGCCATTGCCCATGCCACCTGCCAACTAATGAGGAAATACTTTGTGGACAAGATCTTCAAACTGGACACTTTCAATATGCAACCTGTCTAAAGGCTGGGACATTGGGCTGGTGTTTCACCAAGGAACTGCCCCCTGGCCCCCATGCCGTTGTAACATTTCCATGAACTCCCGGAATCGAGGGTAAAACTCAAAGACACTTGAGAACGGCTGCTCCAATGTTATGGCAGCATTGAGGCACACTGCTACCATCATCAATAGTAACATCCTGAGATGGAAAGAAAGCAACCAACAAATGGCAATTATTTCCCACATAAAGATTCACTTGTGAATGGCTTGTCAGCTAATGCAGTCAAAAATCCGAGACCCTAAGCAATTAGCATCCCTAACGCTTTGAAACTCAGTGTTCCCAATGGAACTACATGCTGAACGAGAACTGGTCCCAGCATTTGTTGCTACCCATGATGAACACTTCAAAGCATAGTGTGCTAGCCACCCTGCATCATGATCTCCCTGTAGCACAACTGCCAGCGCTGTCCTCGGACTGGGATGGAGACATGTAGAGATAGAGACCAGGCATAACTGCTGACAAAGTTTGATACCACATGTCATTCTGATTTCACTTCCAACCCAAAGGATTATTTTCCAAACTTTTCCTAGAGTCACCATGCCAACATCAGACAACAAATCCATTGGGTTCTGGTTGTTGTCATTGGAATTCATATACAGCAAGTCAAGTCGTGCTGAAGGTAGGTCTGCATAGCGGAACATTCGGGTGCATTCAGCTTGACCAGCAAATAGTTCCACAAAGCGAAACTTGATGTCTGACTCCTAACAATGGTATAGATCATGTGATTTGGGCATTTGGAATTCCCATGCATGTTTAAAACTGCATTCCGATAAAAATACAATACATTATCTCCTGCCAACGCTGCGATGGAATATCCGTCCACAGAAGCAACAATGTTGCAAATACCAGCACCTGCAACAAGTTCAGCAGGACATGGGTTTCTTCTGGACCCCAGTATTGAAGGTAAATATCCTGATTGAAAAGACATTCCGAGACATAACAAATGCACCTTGGGCGCACCAAGTGCTTTCAGCCTCCAGCAAAGATTGTCGATAAACTGCTTAGTCCGCGCCATGCCAGCACAGCGCACTTCAATCTAAACCCTCTTTGTGAGACGAAGTTTAAAGATGCAAGCCATTTGCCGGAAACCTGCATGTCATGTAAGGGACCATATGTTCCTCCGACTTGGTGGCAATGAGGCTTGTATGATAAGTGACAATTTGTTGGATTGGATTGCCATCAAAGTCAATCAGTTACCTTGACCTGTCACAGCTACCAGCTTCCAGTCAAGGCAGATGCAGTATTCTCGTCAGGCAACATGATTTTGATGAAGTCTGAAATTTTACCACACACATGACCACACTCAACTTCATGTTGAGATGACAAAGTAAGATTTTCATTTGATTTCACTTTTGAAAAACTCCTCGAGATTTTTCGTGGATAATGTTATTTATTCCCCTCAATAAAACAACAGTGAGTACCTGTTCTCCGCCCCAATCACCAGCAGCCAAAACATGTTGGGAGCACAAGAGTCATCGTCCAGTAAGCCTAGCTTGACAGCCCATTTCTGGCCTTTCAGCCCAGGCATCACAGTGTCTGGCCTTGGCATGCCGTGGCAGCTTCGGATGCTGGGATTGAAAGCTTCAGGGAGGAATGGGAAGAGTGGACCCATAACTGAATGGAATGGAAGAATGTAAACTTGGCAATGAAATTTGAATTGTAGTAAATTTTCCACCACAATGAAATCAGCCCGACATTCAGCTAGTAGGCCATAAATAATTGGTATGCACACTTGCAAGTGGTACAACCAATGTTCGAAACAAGTCACAAATAGTATAATTGATTGACATCATATATTCATAATTGGTAAAGATATAATACATCCTACCATTGCATGCTGATAAGCTCAGGATCTCTTTTGTTTCCGTCAGCTCAGCGAGATTTCAGTGAGGGTCTCCCCACATATCCATCACCCCAGAAATGCCATCTTGGGCTGGCTTCTACCCCAAGGGAAAACCGAATCCAGCATTGCACAGGCAGGCCAAAAAGTGGGCAACATAAAAGTACAGAGTACATAACAATACATAACATTACAAAACCGATTTTCATATCAATCCAGATTTACCAAAACAAAAACCAGTATTCATATCCAGATATCTTCAACCCTTAAGATGAGACCACATGCATGGTTATATATCAAGATGCTTTATCAGTGCAAGTACTTGCACCCACCTGTGCTCCCAACACCCCAAGCTAAGGCAAATCGATGGGCCACATCTCGATATGAGCTGGCATTGCGAGATCTAAACTGAAGCTGGTCTGCACTGCGTCACCGTGGTCGGAAGTCTCGCACCACTGCGGATGTTGATCAAGCAATGTAAAGATCATTAAAGATCAGTTTATACAAAATATAATTTCATAATGGGATTCCAATGTAGGAGGGATTAGTTTACAATGTTTCCAGTGGTACTTCTCAACCCATGTGATTGGTAGACGAACCAGGATTGTGAAACCATCACTTTTTCTTAAGGGCAGTAGCAAACAAAGCTGCAGCCACACTCACATTGTACTTCATGAAGAAAAGATGCGTCTGAACCTTGCCAGTGGGGTTGGCATAGTCCTCCAAATCTTCAGCTGGAAGATCTTCCAACCAAGAAGCCTTGGATGTTGCAAGGAGGACTGTGCAGGGAAAAATCATCCAGAAAAATGCAGTTACATAGATCTTGGAATCATAAGGAGAAAGTTCAATGAAGTAATATAAGAATTCTGCCTCTGCAGAAGCTGACACATGCTGGCCACCCTTGAGTTGACTGAAACCTGAAGCTAGCCACTGCTGCAACTATGATTTGAAAAGCACTGCATGTTTCATGCTTTCCCAAAATGTATGGGTCAAACCAAGAAGCCATCAGCGAAGCTGTGACATACACACAGGCCATGTTGTAGTTCCAGCCCTCGGCACAAGTGCCATATCGTCCAATGTAGACAACTTCCGGTGCCTTCTTCAAGCTCCCATCTCCAAGTGCAGGAACTTTGATGCCACATGCTGGCCGCCCCCAGTACTCGTTCAGCTTGAACTCATGCGGTTTGCTGTTGGTGAGGTGCTTCCTGAGGTACAACTTGACATCTTCATAGGTCAGCTTCTCCACATTTTTCAGGTGTTGGCGCACAATGCCCTGAATCTGCTCATCCTCCTTTGCCTCCTGATGCATGGTTTCCTTCTCCTTCCTCTTTCTGCGAGAAACTTCCTTCTTTGTAAAGGGTGACAAATCCACCTTCTTCACTTTGGTCTTGTTCTTGTTCTTGCCGCCCTTGGCTTTCTTAGGAGTGCTCTCCTCAGGCTCAGGCTCACCAAGCTTTCGATTCTTGGCCTTGTGTTTGTCCACCTCGCACTTTTCCAAGATGTCCTTCAGCGGCTCCACCTTGCCAGTCTTGGCATCATAGCGTTCGTGTTCACTTTCATCAGATCCATCATCGTCAGATTGAAATAGCTTCTTTCGAAGCTTCTGGGCATCAGTCTCCTCTTCATCTCCACTTTCATCATCCTTCACTGCCTTCTTGGGCAGTCTTTTCGCCTTTGCTTTCGCTGCTCTCTTTGCTATTGCCTCTTTTTTTGGCTCAGCTTTCTCCTTCACCTTGGACTTCGCCTTGGCCTTTGGCTTCTCTCCAAGATCCGATTTGGATGCCTTCTCGGATGGAGCAGCTTCACCACTTTCAGGCTGAGTCTCTTCAACCTTCTCCTGAACCTTCTTCTTCCTGCCCCTAGTTGTCGGTTTCTTGACATTCTCAGGCTCAATCTCGACCTCAGCTCCTGTTCCTCCATCAGCAGGTTCTGCTTCCTTGCGCTTCCTGGTAGAAGTCTTTGACTTGGCTGCAGCACTTTCTTCCTTCTTCTTCATGTCATTCTCTTTCTTCTTCTGCTGCTTCTCCTGCTTCAGCAACAGCTGGTCCCGTCGTGTCAGAACCTGCCATGTGGCAGATGCAACCCCAACGATGCAAACAAAATAAAGTCTTGGACACTGAATAGAACGATGCAAAACCAGGATTGGGCTGGCCAAGACAAAAGTGCAGAGAACAGAAATGTGCAGTGAGTGGGTAACACTTAAAATACCTCAACCCAATGCACGCTTGGATGTCAAAGGCTGCCATGAAATTGTCTCAGAAATTATGTTTCCCACCCCGACTCTGAAGCCTTCGGGGGCTCTGACTCCTCCTCACGATCATCACCATCATCAAGGTCAGGCTGCGTAGATGGGATCTCCTCATCATCATGATCATCAACTGGCATCTCAAGGTTGAAGATGTCAGCGATCGGTGTGTCCAAGTCCATGGGCTGGGTGTCATCACCATCATGAGCTGGCCCAGCCCTGCTGCCTGCAAGATGAAATACGAACCCAGTAGATGGCATTGGCAAAGGTTCAGACCATGTGACTTAATTCAGAAAGAAAACAGATAAGAAGGGTTAGGGGGGGTATGTTTCAAATTTACACAGGTAAAAATCATTATTATGGAAAATGGTGTTTGCATACAAATTTGATCAGTGAATCGTTGAAACAACATGACCATGATACTATACCACAAAAAAGGAAAATATTCAACCATTAAAACTAAAAGGATGTTATTGGGTTGAGTCCCCTGCCTGCGGGCTTGACCTTGTCACCCTCACCAAAGGACTGAACCTTCTTAGACCCAGGTTTCCTGAGTAGCATGCACTGGGCCCCATGGATTGTTGGCAATTATTCAATCCCTCCTGGCAATCAGATATTTGGTGGTAATGCCATTTATAACAGTTAGGATTAAAACAGGTTATTTTTGGGATCACCCGTTGGATGAACCAGCGCACCCTAGCCAGCGAAACTAAGAAAAGCGTCTCTGCCGACTGCTTCTTCAGCTCTGCCAGCCGCTGGGCAATCAAATTGCGGGCAGCCTGCACTCGCTGAGCGACTGTAGCGCCTTGGCACGGTGAAGGGCATGAGATGGTCATGGTAGGATTCAGCCCTCCTACAAGTATAGGTACGGTTTCAGGGTTGATAGTTGGAAAGTCCAAACACATTTTGTTGGAAGGAAGATCTTTTGAAACATAAATTTTATCGAGGTTCATTCACACTTCTCGCAACCACATTTGGCACATGTTGTTGGAACTGGCGGTGATGAAGATGCTTCAGAACAAGGGGTTGCCTCATCCAACCACTTCTTGAAGTCTGCAAACTCTTGATTTGTTTGGGGGTCATCGTCTTCCTCATCGTCAGAGTCCTTGTCGTCCTCCGCTGATGAACTTGACCTTGAACGGCGGCATGAACTCAAGTAGGCATCAATGGCTTCCTGGATGGACAATTGACCAAGGGGTGATGTAGAATTGGATAAAGTTGGATAAAGTTGGATTGAAACATAATCTATGGCAATCTAAGGTCATCGATGTTATGGTTTCAAAATGTCATCCGAGAACCAGTGATAAGAAACAGAATTGAGAAATGTAGCAACATTCAGGGTTGAAGGGATGTTCAATGACATGGCCATAGGTCCTGAATGTTAGGGTCCAGGGCAAGCAGAAGCACATGGAACCGCGAGTCCTAGCCAGGGTCAATTTTACAAGAATGAGGCTAAGGAGGGAAACTACTTCTTCGTTATCATCATTATATTCAAATAAATTTTACAATGGCTCAGGGGTCAGATATCCAATAAGTAAGACTTTTTCCGGGGGAACCTATCCGTCCTAGGGAACCTCACAACAAACCCTATCCCTAACCCTTTCCTTTGTCACCTCCTTCTTCTGAACTCTTCTCTTGATGAATCCTGCCATCTTTTTTACCTCAACACTTGTTTTGTAGGGAAATCGATCAGCGGTAGAAAGTCCAGTCTTCTCACAAAGGGTTTGGACCTCTACGGTAAGGTCATCAAGGTGTGGCAGCTTCTTTTTGTGTGTGACCTGCAATCGTTTCAGCACTGGCAGAATGATCATTTCATTGGTCACTGCGTTGACCCGATTTGGTTTGCAAAACTTATCCGTTGCTGGGTAAATCATGATTTTCTTCTCCTCCCTCAAGCGATCACGAAGCTGCTCATCCCGCTCCCACTCCTTGGCAAGCCCTATACACTTCATAGCCATTGTATAGGGAAGATCCAAAAGCGAAGTGGCTTCCCACACCACTTCTTGAGTCAAAAAATGCTCTGGTTGTACGGGGGTGATGCATGATCACAAGAAAACAATGTCAGTGTATGTTTTTTTGGTCCATTGCCATTCCATCTTATTTGACTTTTTGGGTTTTCCATCCAAGGTGCAACATGGTGCACCCCCATCCGATCTGCCGTGGAAAAATGAGGGCCCCGGCAGTGCTGGAAGGGTAGATCTTCAGGTGGATCATCACATAGCAAATGGAAGGACCATGAGATACCATTGGCATGGTGGATAAGGAGAAAGATCCGGGGAAATCAAAATGCGAAAGGTTTCAATACCATTATCTGTTGAGGATCTTTATGTCACATCCAAATTTTGAAGATTATGTTCGAAATATCTTCAGTCTTTATGGATTCACCATCTTCATGTGCGTATTCATGCCAGCTGGGAACCCACTTTGGGCCACCAATGGCCTGCATCAGACCCATCTTCCCCATTCAGGAGTGTATGCCTACTGAGCCTAAACCTACAAGTACCCCCAAAAAGTAGGTAAATTAAGGGTTTTTGGAAATAGATATCTTTTTTGGTGGTTACGCCAAAATAGCTATCGTTTTTTTTCCACCCCACAAAAAAGTAGGTAAAAGGCTCAGTAGGTATATATATATATATATACATATATATATATATACACATTGGAATTATCACTGGCCCTAAAATATCACTTCAACTGAGGATTTAGATGGATTTTGGACATCAAGAATTCAGGATTCGGGGGATTTCACCGACGAAATTGGGTGATTCAATTGATTTGATTTAACCGAAACTCGGATGCAACCAAGTAATTGAGGATTTGAGGGATGCAACTCAAACAATTGTGGATGTCAGGATGAGAAATAGATAGTTCAGATAGTTCATTGATCCAAACTGGGACATCGATCATAGATGTTGGCAATATTTTGGCAGGTGAGTAGGATTGGGCTCGAAGCAATATGAATTTGGATGCCTTAAGCATCAAGACTAAGAATATACAATATACAGTAGTTAGTAGTTATGACCAGGAAGGAGATCTACACAGCTTGATATGATCAAGAATGTTGAAAGCATGGAAGTTGGCAAGGGAAAAACAGCTTGGAGACATGATTTCTTCAATTACCATTTGAATCGGCTCCAGTCGGCAAACACCCCAAGAAGATGGGTGTCAATTAATATCAATCACCCATTTCACCCAATCAACATATGTGGTATCAATTCATCAATCAGTTCACTTAATCAACGGGGCTTACACTTTCTCGAATCCCATCAGTGTTGTCCAGTTCAAATCCCATTGAGTTCGAGGATGTTCCCCTTTTTTATTTTTTTTTATGCCCTTCAAGGAACATATTTTCGTAAATTCAAAATTTCAAGGGACTCCTTTTAAGCCCATGATGGTATTTCGGAAATCATCCCCAAATGGCCTTATGTCTGGTTTCAGGAAATATACCCTCTGGTAATTTAACATAGCTATGGAAAATCACCATTTTTAATGGGAAAATCCACTATAAATAGCCATTTTCAATAGCTATGTTAAATTACCAGAGGGTAAATGATCATCAATGATCTATATTTATTTCTGGTTTTTCGATGACTTCCCCCAATGGTCATCAATTGTCCCATGACAAAAACATGGGAATTCGCACGTAATGGCCATGTTTGATGACACTGACATTGTTTCTGGTGAGAAATCATCTGAAAATATCCATGGGAAATCCCTTGGCTCGGGAGGTGACAAAAGCTCCAGTGGTGGCTGCCAAGTTGGTCTTGGGAGGCGCAATTCTGAGGCAAAACCCCCCCTTGGAACAAGAAATAGGCAAAACAACTGTTTTGAAGCACCAAGAATATGGGTTTAACATGGTTTAACCATGTTGAACTATAAAAAAATACGCATCCAGAACCATCAACATGTGGGCCCAAATAGAAAACCATTGCGATTGGACCATCAAAGCTGAGTTGTTGCAGCAAACCGTGTTTTTTTTTTGAACACCCAACCTGGTAAAGCCGGCGGATGGGATGGGTCAAGAGCTGTACCCAGGGCCATATATCCTGTAGAATCATCAGCGGAGATGAGAGACATGGCGCCATTTTCATTGGGAAAATGATGACAAACCACTGAATTCCACGGGTGCATTTTTTGGGAACCAGCGAGGCGCTCTTGGCACCACGCCCAGCACCTCATCAGATACCACTTCGGCGCAAGGTCATGGATGCTGTCCAAATCACCAGGGTGACTGTGAAGGTAACTATGAAACACTGTATGGCATGGGATGATAAAGAGGTAAAACAAGAGGTAAGTTACATCTACCAACTGGTGCAGGATTTCTTCCTCCACATTATCTCAACAAATCCAAAAATTACGCGGAAAGATGACCTACGAGAAAAGGATAGAAAAGGAATGCAATTGCGAACTTATATTGTACAACAAATAGATCAAACAGCGGGATTTGTGCATAAGGTAATAAACATGCAGACAACGTTGCAATAGTATACGCTACTTGGAAAAGTAGCACGGGAATCCACCCCAGTGAAGATGATTTGCCTCAATTGCTGAAGTCTAGCACAAGATGGTATGGTTTGGCATCCCCCCAACTTGCGCAGATGTGCGCAGATTTCAGACAGTGAATCAGTTTGGCTGGAGCTATGATGATCCACCTGATATTGACTGCGAGTATGCCGCCAATGCGCGATGAATTTAAGAATATTTAAGACACTGGCCAGGAATCCATGATGAATTTTTGTATTACTACTATACAGTACTGTTTTTGCCGGTGGTCTAGGTCTAGGTGTAGACCCACAACTTGGGATCCCATAACTTTCACCAGGTCGCATCCAAAGAACTTGGGCAACTTGAGATGTTTCCAGGGGGTGCTCACGAGTTGTGAGTTATCGCTTTTGATGTTTACCAACTAAGCATGACCCAAACAACAGGGGCACCACCTTTCCATTCATGTCCACTCTTCATGGCATAAATCCATACAAATCCCAGTTTTCCATGGCTAAATCATGGTAAATCCCAATTTTCCATGGGTAAATCATGGTAAATCCCACTTTTCCATGGGTAAATCATGGTAAATCCCAATTTTCCATGGGTAAATCATGGTAAATCCGACTTTTCCATGGGTAAATCATGGTAAATCCCACTTTTCCATGGGTAAATCATGGTAAATCCCATGGGTAAATCATGGTAAATCCCAATTTTCCGTGGGTAAATCATGGTAAATCCAACTTTTCCATTGGTAAATCATGGTAAATCCCACTTTTCCATAGGTAAATCATAGTAAATCCCAATTTTCCATGGGTAAATCATGGTAAATCCCAATTTTCCATGGGTAAATCATGGTAAATCCCACTTTTCCATGGGTAAATCATGGTAAATCCCACGTTTCCATGGGTAAATCATGGTAAATCCCATGGGTAAATCATGGTAAATCCCAATTTTCCGTGGGTAAATCATGGTAAATCCAACTTTTCCATGGGTAAATCATGGTAAATCCCACTTTTCCATGGGTAAATCATGGTAAATCCCACTTTTCCATGGGTAAATCATGGTAAATCCCACTTTTCCATGGGTAAATCATGGTAAATCCCAGTTTTCCATGGGTAAATCATGGTAAATCCCACTTTTCCATGGGTAAATCATGGTAAATCCCACTTTTCCATGGGTAAATCATGGTAAATCCCACTTTTCCATGGGTAAATCATGGTAAATCCCAGTTTTCCATTGGTAAATCATGGTAAATCCCACTTTTCCATGGGTAAATCATGGTAAATCCCACTTTTCCATGGGTAAATCATGGTAAATCCCACTTTTCCATGGGTAAATCATGGTAAATCCCATGGGTAAATCATGGTAAATCCCAATTTTCCGTGGGTAAATCATGGTAAATCCAACTTTTCCATTGGTAAATCATGGTAAATCCCACTTTTCCATAGGTAAATCATAGTAAATCCCAATTTTCCATGAGTGAAATGCCCTTTCTTTTTTTCCATTTGGACATCGTTCGGATTTCCACCGGAGGTGAACGCATCCCCTTGGATCCCAAGTCGGGTGGGTTGCTGAACGCTGCCGCCGCAGCTGCTGAAGTAGCTGGGCAGTTGAGATAGGGACCCCAAAATGGATGATTTATTTCAGGGAAAATCCTATGAAAATCCCAATCTAAAATGGATGATAAATGGGATATACATTTTTTTATGGAAACCCTCATAGAAGGCATGGAAAGATATCAGTTGGACATAGTTAGATAATGTTAGATAGTTCAGGTGTGTGAAATTTAGATGTGAAGTTGATTTGAGCTGGAGCGTTCCACCTGTTAGCAGGGATTTCAGGATTTCTTGGCACATGAATCTACGTTGGATGATTTGATTTAATTTGGGAGATTTTGGAAGTAATGCAGCGTGTTTGTCCCAAAGGAGTAGTAAATTGAAAAAAAGTACACCTAAGTTTCGGCCAGTCATTCCCATTTGCACAGCCTTGGTGTTCCTGCTGACAAGGCCCGGATCATTGACGATGCTTGCAGTGGTGTAGACTGGGACGAAGGTGTGGCAGGGCTTCAAGTGGGTGTGAGGAGTGTCCCACATTGTCCCATGATAGATTTGAACATGATCAATGGATGGTATTGCATATTAGATTATATTTACAAAAAGATTGATTGTATGGAACATAAGTAAGAACTTCAACATTCACCAATTCAAGTTCGTGATTCCAAATTCACCAGTTCAAGCGTATGAATTTATATTCACAAGCGGACAAGCAGAACGCGTTTCTTGGTGCAAAAACCTCTGCCATTCGGAACAGGACAGATCTGACCTCCATTGTGGGATCCATCAACAACCGTGTTTGAATCTAACATCAACACTCCGTTGATCCCCAACAACTGAACATAGTTAATAGTTTTTCAGGAAATTCAACCACCATTCAACCACCTATAACCGGACGCCATTGTCTGAATCATTGTTGA